ACCAATGGTGTTCACGGCATACAGAGGGGATCCCACAACAAAACTTATTTCTGTGTTACGTTTTTGAGTGTAGCCAGTGTAACTTAGTGGTTAAGAGCTTATACGTTTTTGCATAGGACCAGAGTTCTCTTGTGGGATATTTGTACACTGTGTAAAGATTTATTGCTGTGATAGGTGTAATAAAGAGCTAAACAGGCAATAGGCTAGAGAGAATAGACGGGACTTCCAGAAACAGAGAGCATTCTGGGAGGAAGAAAGGGGATCCATCAGCAAGATGCAGGGGAAGCAAAGATGTACAGCATGGAGACCAGGTATCAAGGAAGCAGAATACAGATTTAAAACTATGGGTTAATTTAAGTTGTAAGAGCTACTTGACAACAAGCCTAAGTTAAGGCTGAGCTTTCAAAATTAATAATAAGGCTTTGTATTGTTATTTGAGAGCTGGCTGTTAGTACAAATTACAAATTAAAACTCGTTACAGAGTTTGATTCCCAGCCCCTGCAACACCTGGTTCACAACTGCCTTTAATTCTATCTCCAGTGGGATCCAATGATTCTGACCACTGTGGATACCTGCACTCATGAACATAACCCACAAACATATAACTAAAAATGATAAAAATCAATTTAAAAAATTTGAATAAATTCCTAAATGTCTACTAGTCTTTTGTGTGTATGCATGTATCTTTGCATGCCTATGTATCGTCATGTTCATGTAAGTATGTACATGTGTGTTTTGTCAGGGATTTCTGTCCTGCCCGGTTCCCTATTCGTTAAGTCCCAAAGAAATCACATAGAGGTCTACATTAACTATAAACTGATTGGCCCATTAGCTCAGGCTTCTTATTAACTCTTATAACTTATTTTAGCCCATTATTCTTTTCTAGGCTAGCCACATGGATTGGTACCTTTTTCAGCAAGGCAGTCACATCTTGCTTCTTCTCTGGTGGGTTCACAACTGCCGAGCAATGGGCTTCTTCCTTCCCAGAATTCTTCTGTTTTCATTGACCTGCCTCTACTTCTTGTCTGGTTTTCCCACCTATACTTCCTGCCTGGCTACTGGCCAATCAGCTTTTATTTAAAATATAATTGACAGAATACAGACCATGGTCCCACAGCACATGTGTGCATGTATGCATGCACAGGTGTTTGGAGGCCTGGGGTTGACATTGAGTTTTTCCCTCAATTGCACTTCATCTTATTTTTTCATCTTCTTCTCTCTCTCTCTCAGTGCACTAGTTTGGCTAGATGAATGGTTAGCAAGCCCCAAGGATCATCCCTCTCCTCCTCAGTGCTATAACCACAGAACTACACAACCATGCTCAACTTTCATGCAGGGACTATAAATCTAAGTCATGGTTTCAGAGTAAAACTTTTCTGAGGATCCCTCCTTACCCACACTCTTGTTTATTCTCATCCGCATAACACACTGTCTTAACAGTGTTTTTACAGTAAATTCTGAGATGAGGTAGTTGGCTTTAAATAGTAACTTTCCTTCTCCTTTCAAACCTGCTGTGGCTACTGTAGACTATGTATTTTCAAATAAAATTTATAAGAATGTTTTAAATTTCTAAGATAGTCTTTTGGTATCTTGGTATTTCAGATGAAATTTCATTAATTCTGTTGTGCAATTAAATGAAAATTGGCAATCCTAACAATGAGGAGTTTTTAAGCTTCATTAACATGATTTGTTTCTATTTCTCTGTTAAATTCTCTTGTTTTTTTCAGTAATAATTTTTCTTTTCAGTGCAATGCCAGGCACATATGTTATTACTCTTATTCCTAAATAAGAATCATTATGGTGTTGCAATGGAGCTATTTTTGGGTTGTGAATCTAGTCACAATTTTGCCTTTCTTTCTCCCTTTTCCTTTTTAAAAAGTAATTTTGTAGGTTTTTGGATAGACATTTTTGCGTATTTTTCTTAGAGATCCAAGTTATTGCCTGGTTTTGATTCTTTTCATCCTGAAAATGCTCTTTGTCAGAGTGTATACTTCTTAACTATAATGGATTCACACATGGGTCTCTCTCTCTCTCTCTCTCTCTCTCTCTCTCTCTGTGTGTGTGTGTGTGTGTGTGTGTGTGTGTGTGTGTGTGTGTTAGTAAGCATTTGTGTTCAGTTGAAGAATTCTATCTTATTTTGCCTTATTGTTAAAAGTGTCTCTGGATATCAGATTATTGGCTAGCCTTTTGTTCTATTTTGTTTTACTTTTATTTGAAATATGTCATTAAAATGGTGATCATTTCCCACTCCTTCTGAACAAGAGGTCAATCGCTAACCATTCTAATATTTCCTCATATGGAAGGTCATTTTTGCTGCCACTAAGCATCCCAGTTTCCACCACCTGCAGTTAAACTATAACACTGTGCAGGTTTCTTTGCGTTTGTCTATTTGGGTTAAACCGTTGGGGTTGCAAATTATTGCTTTCAATCATATTTAGGAAGCTTTGGGTTACTTTTTAGTCTGTTCATTAGCAGAGCTGCTCAACTTTTTGGCATCTTAGCATGACATCATCTGCAAAGGGCTGGGCTGTGTTCCTCACCACACTGGTCTGCAGGCAACCCCAAGGCCATGGGCTGGCTTGGCCTGGGTTAGTGCTTGTTTCTTTTCTGTCTTACTGCATATGTTTAATCATTTTATGTATGTGTATGAGTGTGTGTGCATGCACATGTGTGTGTGTGTGAGAGAGAGAGAGACAGAGACAGAGAGAGACAGAGAGACAGAGACACACACACACACAGAGAGAGAGAGAGAGAGAGAGAGAGAGAGAGAGAGCGCTTCTAGAAGTTTTTTTTTCCTAATGTTTACTCTCTTTGTTCCTGATAGGATAATTTCGATGAATCAATAGTTAAACTTATTTATCCCCTTCTACTTTCTTAAATCAGCTATTATCCACATTCAGTTTTTTATTTTATATGAATGGGTGTTTGTTTATTTTATATAAATGGTATGTATGTAAGTGCCCCATGTGCTTCATTGCCTGTGGAGACTCAAACAGGACATTGTCCCTTAAAGGAGACAAAAATAGGAAAGAACTTCCAATCCCCCTTATTTAATCTGTGTTCAGTCATTGCCCAAGAACATTCTGAAAGAACAGCCTTGGCTCAAATGCTGCAGCATACTTCACCCGGAGGTCTGCCTTCCGTAGTGACAGCCAGCTCTTCCTTGGAAGACACCTGAGCAGTCCTCTACATCCTTGAAATTAATAGCAAGAAGAAGAGACAAAGTGAACTAGCAGAGAGCGCTCTGGCATCAGAAAATTTGAACCCAAAAACCTCTGGCATACAGTTGTTTTTAAAATTAAGGATGTCCTCCAGCATTTCTTACTGTCATTTTAAATCTGTCATGTGAGAATGATAATTATCTTTTGGTTACCCACTGAACAAATGAGTAACATTGCTATGAGAATTAGACGATACAGCTCTTGGGAATCATCCAATAAAAGGTTTAGCAAATAAATGTTCAGAGAACATACGAAAGTAACAAATTGCCTTAATTTGAGAAACTAGAGACTCCAGTCCCAGCTTTGATGTGCTGTCTTAAATAATTTCCCTTCTCTTGCACATTTCATGTACAATAATGACACTGTGGTGTGAAAATGACTCCTTCACCTTGGAGTGACTTCCTGATCCTTTGTGCTGACTCGCGGGGTCCTTTGTCCATTCTGCTATGACTGGCAAACACTGCCATGAGGGAAGTACATCCATCTTAGCAAGTGCTCCGTTTGGCATGACATCAGCAGTTTGACATGATTATGACTTTGGGCATAGGAACAACTGCCTCTGCGGTTAAGCTCTTCTCCCCAAATCCTTCTCAAACCAGCTCTGTTCTCTGGCAGTGTGCCATGCATGAATCCGCTCATACATCCAAGGAAGAGTTGCTCTCAGTGATTGATCGACACAGAGCAATCTTAGCTCACTATTGTAATTTTCATCTCATCTATAATTGACCCTTTCATTTTAAGCATGAAGCACATTATTGCAGTTATTCTCTATTTTTAGCAAATTACACGGTAATAATTATCATTCTACACTATTATTAATAGCTAAAGCTATGATAATGACATTGGTAATAATAAATTTATAATAGCTTCTAACTCACTTTGGTTGGGTATGCTGTTGTTTATAAAATCTTGTTATTACAGTAATCTTGATGTCTAACTACCAACCGCAGGTTGGTTTTCATTTCTTAGAAATAAGTATTTCCTTGGAAGTTTGCATCACAGTGGCATGATTGAGTCAGAAAATATTAACATTATCTTTCTCTCATATGCACATGTATGTGATGGGCTTGTATGTATCTGTATTCACTGGTGTGTGGATGCACAGGTGTGTAAAGGTTCTTGTATACATGTCTATTCATGGAGGCCTAAGATCGACAACAATTCACTGAGTCAAGGTCTTTAAGAGTTTTCCTACACAGCTGATTTGTCTAGCCAGCTTGTTCTTGGAGGTCACCTGTGTCTGTCTTCTGCATGTTGGAATTAAAGACACATGACCAACATTCATGTGGGTTCTGGGTATCCGATCTCCAATCCTCATGCTTGCATGAGTAGGTTTTAACATTGGACCATCATCCCACCTCACTATTAACATTTTTAGATTTATTTATTTTATATTACGTGTATGAGTGTCATGCCTAAATGTATGCTTGTGTAACATGCGCATGCTTAGTGCCCACAGGGCCAAAAGAAGACATCACATTCCTTGGAACTGGAGTGAGGAACAGTTGAAAGGCACCATGTGAGGGCTGAGACCGGAAGCCAGGTCCCTTCGAAGAGCTGCCAGTGCTCTTAACTGCTGAGCCATCTCTCCAGCTCCAGCATTATTAGCATTTTAGATACAAGATATTTATTGTAAATCTAGTATCTATACCACAGATATGCATTGATAGCAATTTAGCAGCCACTAACTACTACAGAAAAAAAAATGAGTCAGATATGATTTTAGTGGAGACCCTGTCAGTGAGTAGATCATTTTGATTCTAGAGATATTTTCTGCTCACTTCAGTGGTGCATGTACTAATTAATATTGGAGCAACATAGAGAAGATTAGTACAGCCCTTTGCAATGATGACATTCAAGTCCATGAAGCATTCTATATTTTAGACTGTGTCTCATAGCAATGTCAGAAGCTACACTCATAGTGTTTCATCACTATGAGTGTCTAAACATGAGTTAAGCAAAGGACAACTGACATAGAGTGAATTTAGGAGACCTCACGAGACCTCAGATCTACACAAAGTTCTGCCAGGAGTGCTGAGAACAGGAGAAATAGTCTTTCAAAGAGAAGAGCACACCAATTGGTTATACAATACTAAGTGGTAGACACACACACACATACACACACACACGTGTGTGTGTAGCAACAACAATCCATGAATTCAAAAGAGAGCAAGGTACAGTAAACGGGAGGGTTTAAAGAGAGGAGAGGGAAGAAAGAAATGACAATTTTGTTATAATATTAAAAACTAAATAAATGATTTATAAAACAAGAAAAGAATAGGGGGAGGGAACCTTGACAAATAAACATATTTAAATATAACAAAAATATTTTTCTCATGGAAAAAACACTTTAAATACTGTGTACACAGCTACAGAAGATTGAAGCAGGTCTAATTCTGATCCTAAAATACTTTCTTGAACTGATCAATGTGGCTTGCTGTAATGAATATTTGCTTTTTGACTTTTGCTCTGTACTAGGATTCCTGACGCTGTGGCAGATACCTCAGATAAATGATATCGAAGAAGTAAGATTCGCAGTCCTCGTAGCTTTAGGTCTTCAGTACATAGTCATCTAACTTTGCTGCTTTTTTATGTCTTTGGGAAGGTTCCAGCATCGTAAGGGAAGACCACACACGTGCCAAACCACAAATGGATTCTTCTCCACTGTACCAATAGAGACCACACTTTCCTATGGACTTTAGTGCCATCTGGAAGCTTAACTGAAGCTCCCTCAGACTGAACAACATTCGGCCTGCACCCACTCGCTTCATGCCATGTTCCTAAAGCTAACCAAGTTTCCAAGGCTCCTTCCTATTTACTGCCCAGTCATTTCCCTTAATACAACCCTGTTTTACAGCTGCCTGCTTCTTGGTGTTTCTATAGTAACTCATCCCACTTACATGACCTACAAAGTTTGGTTTCTGCCTACTCTTACATCCCCCCTTAAATAATGTTTCCTCTGGTAATCTCTTCCCTAAGAACAACAAACTAAATGAATAAGCAACCACACAACCAACTGCCCAAGGAAATAACTGTTTCCCTAGCACTGTCTCAGTGCACTGCAAAGCATTTGGAATGCAAGTGCTTAATAGATGAATTATAACTAAATATTGAAAATTGTCAGTACACTACATCACCCCCTCACTTTCCCTGAAAAATAACACTGCAGCCAAAACACTATTCTCAAATGCTGCTCTCTCTGCCTCTCTCTCTTGTCCACTGGACTTATATTTATATTTTTGTCACTAACACAAACACCTACTGCCCAGAAAATACTTCAGTGACTCCAACCTACTCCCCTAGTCATAGAAGTCCTCCATTATCTAGATGTGTGGTCTTGAAAATCATATAGTTCATTACAATTGAAATGTTTGCACCAGTTTATGTAGCTATTCAGATGCCTGATGATAAGGCTGACTGACATTCATGTCACCAATTGTCAAGTTCTGTGAGGACAAAAATGCAAAAAATTTTAGCGACATATTTCAAAAAGGTCAATGGATTTACGAAGAAATGTTTTCACCAGTGAAGAATAAAGTGTCCAGTCACAAGCTGCACAAAACATTTGATGAAACCATGAGAAGAAAAGAGAATCACTGGTGTGACAATCCGATCACTACCGTACCCTTAAAGAGACCGAACATTTACAAAGAAATAAACTGTGACCAACTGTAGTTCAAAATGTTTCCCACATTTGTAATTCAAATATCAGTCAAGCACAGGAAAATAAATCTTTGCCAATTAGATCCATAATGCGCTAATAATCAAGTAAAAACAAGTGTCATCTGGACTGACGTGCTGAGGAACACTGTTCGCTGAGTGTCAGTCTTAGCCATGAGTTAACTGCTTTGTGTTATTTTTTCCGTTGTTATACCGTGTGAAGTTATTCCTAGATAATTTCATCAAATAACAAATAAAATATAGTGAGTAAAATACAATTACATTATATTGAAATCAATAATAATGTAAATCGTCACACCATTTATGGAGCACCCTGTGTTTAATTGAGGAAAACAACAACAGCGTGTAGATGACACGTTTATTCAGCCATCCCATGAAGAGTGAGATCTTTCCTCATCTTTGCAAAGGAGAGAGGTCCTCCATCACATCCTGACCCCATGAGTAATGGTGACTGAAAATGACATGAGACCATGTAAAAATGTCAGGGCATAATCAAGGATCTTCCTGAGAGGTTTCTGGACTGGATCTAAGCTACTAAAGAATACAAGTCAACAATAAGTCCCCTTCCTCTTTTTCTGGATTTCATTTTATGCTAATGATGTGATGTGGTTTCCTGCGATGCATGGTCTATCCGCTATGTGTCTGCAGTCATTTCTGTCTCAGAACGTGACACAGGCTAGCACTATTAATTTTCCCATTTCTAGGATCCTCTAACCCATTTTCTCTTATCTTATCTCCCCTAACTCTAGCCTAAAGAAATATATTTTAAGTTTGCGGAAATATTCATCAGAAGCATTTGGCATGATGCTTTCTAATGGACTTCAGTTCTTAGAATTAGAAATGATCCATTAGAAATGATCAATGTTAGCAGTATTCTTAACTTTAACTCTTGGTTTTAACATTCTAAAACTGTGGAGTTTGGGGATGTCAAAGGGCTAGTGGTTGTTTATTCCTCATTATTCTGGAAAGTTTCACATCAATTTTTCATTTAGTTTCCTCTCTGTTTTGCTAACCAGAGCTCCAAACTTGCCTATTTCTCTTTGTCATCCCACATCTTTCAGACACTATAAATACGTGTGATCAACAGCACAGGCGCGCACTAGCCATTTGTCAAGTTAATAGTCCTTTTGCCTTGAAAAGAAATGGAAATATTTCTCGTTCATTTTATGTCCTCTTCTAAGATCCCTTGAACGGTGCTTGTTTCTTTTCTCTCTCACCATTGTTTCTCCAATATGCTAGTTGGCCCTGCAGAGTTTTGTATTTTACAGTCTTGCAATGGGAAGTTGGAACATGGCTGTTTAATAAGACCGACTTCTTAGATTCTGTCCTGTGCTTCCACTTATCTCTAATCTCTACTTTCTGCTATTATTTTATACCAGATGTTTTTAGGGCCATGTTGGCATCTGGACAATTTTATTAATGATGGTTAAATATGGAACAAGGATTACAAAAACTAAAACATAATGCCAGAAAAACTAATTAAACCTGTGTCCTCAGAATAAACTGTTATTGTTTGTCATGATTGGCATTTCCAAACTAAATCAGTAGGTTTTCTAAACAAATTTGGGCGTATCTGGTAAGATAATGCTTTAAACACCAAAGAATCGAGCTTGTAGCAATTGAGAATGAGTCCAAATTCAATTCTCGTCATTTTCTACAAATGTCAAGGTAAGAAGAGATCGGTATTCTCAGGAATCAGAAATCATGGGTAAGGAAGAAAGTCAGAGATGAAAGACAAAATCATTGTGCCACAAGTACGAGCTACTTCTTAACAGTAAGCAAAAGGATCTTAACTGCAGGAAAGGTATGCTTGGTGAAAGAAGGCAAGAAGGTCAAATACAGAGCAGGAAGAAGATTTCAATTATAAATAGGGCTGTGCTATCTAGAACTGTTTATTCTCTGTTCTGGCTTTCCAGCATCTGCATGACTTTGATATTAAAATGTACTGGTTGTTCTTAAAGAAAAAATATTGTTATAAATGCTGTCCTCTAGTGCCACACACAAACTACAGTTATAACGAGTGTCTTGGTTGGGATTTCTACTGTTGTGAAGAGACATCATGACAATGGCAACTCTTATAAAGGAAAACATTTAATTGGGACAGGCTTACAGTTTGAGAGGTTTAGTCGATTGCCATCAAGGCAGAGGCATGCAGACAGACATGGTACTGGAGAAGGAGCTGAGAGTTCTACATCTTGATCCGCAAGCAGCAGGAAGTGAACTATCCCACAGTAGGTGTAGCTTGAGCATATATGAGACATCAAAGTCCATCCCTACAGTGACTTCCTCCAACAAGGCAACACCTACTCCAATGAAGTGCCACTCCCTATGGGCTAAGCATTCAAGCACATGAGTCTGTGAGGACTATGCCTATTCAAACCACCACAGTGAATGACGGAACTTCACTGGTTTGGTTTCATTAACAGGTCGAGGTAATTGGGTTGAAATATCTGAGTATATGCACACATCCACACATAGCATACTTCAGAACTGCCTGCAAAACACAGTACTGTACTCACAGCATAGCATCTTTTTATTCTTCCCTGTCTGCCCCACTTATATAGGATTTCTTCCTCTTCATACTCTTCCTAACAGCTTGCAACAGCTTAGTTGTTCTCTGATTAAACTCCTCAAAGTTTCTTTCTTTTTGGAGTTTACTTTCTGCTCAAGGACAACAAATAAACAAAGGTGGGAGAGAGATAGAAAGGGGGGAGATCAGCAAAAATATGTAAATAATATTACTATTTTAAAAATTGAATAAAGAAGGGGAACAGAGATAAACAGCTGTAGTGTTTAGATAAGGCATTCAGTGAAAGTCTCCATGCAGGTGACAATGGAGCAAATCCCTGAATGCAATAAAAGGAAGGTATGTGTAGAAAAATATTGGAGAGAAAGAGTATGTTAAGTGCACTTGTTTCTGAAGCAGTGGATAGTTTTTTTAATCACAACAGCTGGACTGAAAGGATATGGAAGAGTGGTAGAAAAAACAAAATCTGAACTATAATTGAGGAATTCATAGTACAGAATTTTATCCAAAATAACTGTGGCTTTAATTTGCAGGGCAGCTTTAGATACAGTATGGAAAATAAAATATTTCAGATAGTAGTGGAATGATGAAGCCAATGATCCAGTAAAGAGCTGATTCACGTTTAGGACAAGGTGGCCACAGTGAACAGAATATGAAAGGTGATATGTTTGCTAC